TAAGATAAGTATAAAATTTATAAGAATTTTAATTATTTTACTACCGAGCTTGCTCTAGCTGGCTTATTATATTAGACTTAAAAATAACAGTATTTCAGATAAAAAAGAATATTTATTTAGTAAAAACAAACTATAAATAACTAACGTTTTTTTTTTATTCTAGTAGTAATTTTTTAAAATAATAGTATTATTTCTACCGATAAGTTGTACTTATATAACTTACAGTCTTAAGAATCTTATAATAGTTATTATAAAACTTAGATAATATTTTCTAAAAATTATAATCTAAATTATAGAATTATTTCTAGCGTTTTTAAATATTAAAGAAAAATTCGAATTACGGAATATCTTTAATTTTAATATTTATTTTAGATTTACTTAAAGAAAAGAAAGTTTTCCGTTATTAAATTAGTACTAATTTAATATTATTATATTAGATTTTCTATTGTAGTTTGGTAACTTATTTTTTTAACTGCTGGTAATCTTATAGCTAACTAATAATATTTCTAACTATAGTAAGATCCTCTATTAAAAAATCTAATAGTAAAAATAATAAATTATTAGTAATAGAAGAAGTTTTCGACTCGAAACTGTTATTAGAATATAAAGATTGTAGTAATATACTGTATTCTATAAATAACTAAAAAAGAAGAATTAGAATTATAAAAAAAAAAGGTTAGTTAGATATAGAATAGTAGTAGTTTATTAATTTTAAGACTAATTCTTACTATCCGAAGATCTAGTAAGGTTCTGAAAGTTAAATACTAAAGAAGGTCAGAGTTATTAATATTACGACCGTTATATAGGGGATGTGTAAATAGACTGTTAGCAACCCGCCATAGTTCCAGAGGTTATCTATGACAGCTAGATATTTTATTTATAAAAAGAAATAATATACTATTTTTATTATCAGATAAAATACTATTAAATATTAAAAAATAAAAAATATAATAAATAAAAAAGTTACAGTACTAGTAGTAATAAATCTTTAAAACCGGAATATTACTATAGGTTTAAAAATAAAATAAAATAGTAATCTTACTTTCTAGAAGCTTTAACTCTAGTTTTTCTAGTATAATTAATCTAAAATATATAGATCTAATATTTATTAAATACTATTTTAAAATAAAATAAAAATAATCTAATTAAAACTTTCCGAAACAAAATATTAATTTAAATTATAAATATATAAAATATCTTATTTTAGTATACTAGCTCGAAGATATAAAGCTTTAAAATTAAATTAGATCTAAATAAATATTTTTAAATCCGGACTTAGTAATATTATGTTATATAATATCTACTACTACAGTAGTCCATATCTACCACTATGGCAGCCGCTTCGGGGTTAATATAGATTTATTAGGATTTTAATCCGGATATTTATATTATTATATTATTTATTTCTTTTTTTTATATAATATATTATTCTGAGATTCTTTAGAAAAGAAGATTTTTTAAGAATTAGTTTTAAAATTAATAAAAAACTATTTTTAACTATCTTACTTATCTTATTTAACCAGTATATTTACTATATTAAATAGTTTCTAATAATTTCTAATTCTTTTTTCTTTTAGTTACTTAAGAAAAAGTAATATATTATTTAATAAATCTTTATCAGAATTATTTTAAGGCACTTTATCTGTTTTTAAATTATATTATTTAATTTAGATAGATATTTAAGAAGTATAAG